TCCTTCTTTCCTCGTCTTTTGTCCTAAGAATAGAGTGTTAATTGTTCTGAGTTCTACCTGAAGCACGTCTGTCACAAGAAGAAGCTAAGACTTATAGTAGAAGAGGTAAAATAAGAAGTAAATAAGAGGATTAGAGAAAAAGAGAGAGATTCTAAATAACCTAATACTAGATTAATAGTATTAAGTTATTATTTATCTAGCCCTTATATAAATACTACTAGCCAATAGAATTTCTAAGTAATTCTTCTAATAAAGAGATTTTATTATAAATCTATAAAAAATAAGGAAGATAGCTTAAAAAAGAGAGTTATATAAAAGTCTATTAGTAGGTTCTCTTTTATTTTACTTCTTTTTTATAAAAACTAATAATTTTAGGTTAAGTAGTAATAATTCTTAATAATATTCTCTTTATATAAGATAGTTATATATAAGAATATTAAAAATCTTAATTAAAGAAATATTAATATAAATCTAAGAAAGTTAGTATACCTACTTCCCAAAAGAGTATACGAATAGTCTTATTACTTAGAGTCTTAGAACTAAGCTAATATTAACTAGGTTAACCTAGTTAACTACTTGAAATAAAGAAAAGCTACCTTTATAAACTACCTTCCCTACTTACTAAGCTAATAGTTTTATTTACCTTAGTAATATAATTATTTTTCTTAATTATAAGAAAAATACTAGTATAAGATAAGATAATAACTATATATTCTATTTAGTTAAAGAGATTAAAAGATAAGAACTAAATAATTTAGATAATAATAAACTACCTAAGTTAAATAGAAGTATACGTTATATAATATCTAAGGCCCCTTTAAATAGTAGGCGTCCTTTAAAAAAGCCTTATAAAAGGGCTACTTAAAAGCCTTATAAAAGGGCTACTTAAAAAGTAAAGATTAAAAAAGAGAAGATTAAAAAGGAGGAGAAGGTAAATAAAATAGATAAAGAATCTTTATTTATAAAAAAAGAGGATTCTATATCTATAAAAGAAGAAGAAGTGGAAGATAAAGTTAAAGTTAAAAAAGAGAGAGAGATAGAAAAGAGAGTAATCTATCTAATATAAGTCTATCTTATATAAATAATAGCTTCTATTCTTTCTAATTAATGTAGTTTCCTAATCTAGATAAACTTCTTAAAAAAGATAACAAAGATAAAAGGAGAAAAGAAGAGAATAATTATAATTTAAAACTAAAGAAAACTCTTTATTTATTATAAAAAGTACAATAGAATCTAAGTAAAAGGGTATAAATTATAATAAAATAGATTTTAATTTAATATTTTCTATACTAGAATATCTACTTATATAATATAATACTTTCTTAGTTTTATTAAACTAACTACTTAACCTAGGTATTATATTAAGGTAAAGTATTATTATTTAGGTACTACGCTTATAATAGCTACCTTATAAGGCTAGTAGTAAGCTAAAGTTAAATATACTATACTTGTAAATAAGAGGAAAAAATCTTATATATACCTTTTATAATTTAATTAGATTATTCCTCCCCTTTTATATAAAAAGTAACTATTACTTAGAAGCCTCTAAACGCTTAGTTACTATAGATGGAGACGAGAAAATAGCTACGCCCTTCTTACTATTATTATCTAAAGATAATAATAATAAGGTTTTATCTAAAGATAAAGACTTATTATTTATATCTTATAAATTTTAGCTATTATGATAAAAGTATTAGCTGGTATAATCCTACTACTTATAATTACTATAGCTACTACTAAAGTATTCTAGAATATAATAATATTTAATAAAAGGCTATATATTATAGCTATACTTAGTATAAGAGTAACGTTAAAGAATCTCGTGAGATTAGATTAATACTATATTAAAATTAATCTAGTATAATACTCTCGTCTCGATATAGATTTTTTCCTCGTTCCTCGGATCCCTAAAAGAGACTCTAGAATCCTTTGTGCGGGATAGAACGTTAAACCTTGAATACCTACTAGATTAGGTAAGGCGTAGGAATACCTACTAGATTCGGAAGGAAAGAGTAGGTCGTAGTAAGTTATTAGGAATATTAAAACTTGAAAACTCGTCCGTTACGCGAAGGCGGCTTATAGCGGTACTTCTACCGGTCGGAAATGTATATACTTCGAGGATAAGATAGTACTTAATTAACCCTACAAATCTGTCTTATTTTTATATCGTTCCGACATATAGAAGTGCCGCTACGTAGGCGCAAAGAGCCGTATACGCGTTCAGGTAAGGCTTAAGTGCGCATACGGCTCTCGGTGCGGCTCCCCGTGTGGCTAAGTGTGGCTTTGCGGTAATACGAGCGATACGAGTTATAGCCTATACGACGGCTTTAAGAGTCTCCCTAGAGACTCTTATATTAAGATTATATTAATATATAAATTATAGTATAATACTACCTAGTAGGGTTAGATACGCCTTTATAAGAAGGGAATATTACGGCTAGGTAACGCTAATACTCAATCTCAGTATAAGAGTCTCTAGGGAGACTCTTACAAGCGTCGTGTGGGCAGGAACTCGTATCGCTCGTATTGCCGCAAAGCCACACTTAGCCACACGGGGAGCCGCACCGAGAGCCGCATGCGCACTTAAGCCTTACCTGTACGCGTATACGGCTCTTTGCGCCTACGTAGCGGCACTTCTATATGTCGGAACGATATAAAAAAAAGACAGATTTGTAGGGTTAATTAAGTGCTGTCTTGTCCTCGAAGGATGTACGTTTCCGACCGGTGGGAGTGCCGCTACGTAGGCTTAAAGAGCCGCACGCTAAGTACCGACGAGTTCAAGTTTTGGTGTTCCTGCCCGACCCACTTTTCACTTCCTAAACTAGTAAGTCTTAATCCGCTAAGCCTAAACTAGTAAGTCATTAAGGTTTGCGTTCCTGCCTACACGAAGTCTTCTAGAGTCTCTATATATATTAGTATTCTATAGAGTCTATAGGGCCTACTAAGCTTAGAATTAAACTTATATTATAGTAGTTAGTTAGTAGAGTTGGGTGAGTAGGGTTGGTATTAGTATTAGTATTAGTAATAGTATTAATCTACGCGTTTATTAGCCTTACGAAATCTAGCGCTATATATCTAATTATAATATACGTATTATATAGTTTTACTTAGGAATTAATCTTAAAGCTCTTATATAATATAACTGTTAGAGAGAGGTAGGAAATAAGAATATATATATGTATTATTACTATTAATAATAAGTAAGAAAAGAAAAAGAGAGAGAGGCTAAAAGAGAGGAATATATTTTAGTAAGGTAGAGAAGTTAATTATAAAGATCTTAATTAGCTAGTATAAGCTAACTAAGTTACTAACTAAGCTCTACTACTATTTTTAATATAGGAATAAACTTGTCCGGAAGTAGGATTCCTTACTATATAGATTAAGTATGCTATTAAAAAACACTTTTCTTAGTAGTTTTATACTCGATTCTATCTAAAAATCTTGTTCTAGTATAATTTAAAACTACTTAATTTTTTTATAAAAAAAAAATTCTAATAGAGGACGGGTAGTTATAGGTTTCCATACTCTGGACATACCTCGCTTAGAACCACATTATTCTAAAAGCCTCATAACTAAACTATGCGTATAAAGACTTGGTACAGAGTAATGACCAGGCCTCTTAAATACTCTCTACCGCCCTGTCTAACCACTTCTCAAATACATCGGTCATCACACAAAGGCCATGTATAAGACAAAAACTATTCCACTACAGAAACATATTATTTCACAGAGCGCTGGGTTAAGATGTGCCTCTGCCAAAAGCAACAAGACATTCTGAAGGCCAAAATCTTTAGCTTTTGATCATCATCACACATAAGATTGGATATCTTATTAACAAATTTTATCTATTGTTCAATTCTTGGTATACATCATCAAGAATGCGAAAGAAAGAAGCAAGAGCAAAAGAAAACATTGGGCTGTATAGCCAGAAAAGAAGAACTCCCGATCAAATATCCTCTCTTCACCAAAAAATTACAGGATTTTAAATACTCCACACGTGGGTCAACCCCGTTTTCTAACATTTCTCTTTTCAACCGTATTGCAAAATGCAAGTGTGACCTTGGCCCTAACACCCGAGAACGCTCTACAGGAAGAAAGCAGCGAACATAACACCAACCAGAAGTGTACTTGATACTTGGATGAGGGATCCGGATGAGGTGTTGACGGTTGGAGTAGGAGTTGGAGTTCCTGCTGGGGATGCGCCGCCAGCACCTCCTGCTCCTCCTCCGTTACCTCCAGAAGGTGTAGCACCACCGCCGTTGCCTCCAGAGGTACCGTTTCCTCCAGCTGATCCACCGCCGTTCCCTCCACCTGGTGCTGCTCCTCCTGCTCCTGGTTTTTGACCTGGGATGGTGGCTTGAGCGACGTTCTTGGCTGCTGCTTTGTAGGCGGCGAGGGTCTTGTTTCCAGTGGTGGCACTGATGAAGAATGTTAGGAATTTGCCTCGTATAAAAAGATGGTTTGCGGGAGTACTTACACGTTGACAACCATAGACATTCCGTTTTGGCAGTGCTTGCCTTGCGAGCAGTAAAACCAAAGTGGCTTGGTGTCGTTAACCATAATAGTATATGTTGGGGTTGTGGAGGCAGAGGCTGCTACTGGCATATACCCGGAGTAGACGCTTCCTGAAGCGATACATGGAGCATCGAAGGTTGATTGGACGACGGAGTGGTTGTTTGGTGCAAACTGGAATTGGATCATATCTCCAACTGCGGCCTGGATATCATCTGGCTGGAATTTAAGCGTGCCATTGTTTCCTCCAACCTTCACAACGTGGACTTTGACTCCAGCGCCGGATGCTGACCCGCTTCCTGGAGCACCAGTTCCCTTGGCTGCTCCTGGGGCGGTTCCTGATCCACCTGTTGGCCTTGCTGCTCCTGGTGCTCCCGACGCCTTTGGTACCACAGCTCCCGATGGTTGTGCTGATCCTGCTCCTCTTGGTACTCCTGATCCTGATGGCTGTGCTGCTCCAGGCTTTTGTCCCTCACCAGCTGCTGTTGGATATATTAGATATGGCAAGAAGGCTATATTTCTGCAAATGACTTACCGAAAACACTGGCAACGCTCAAAGCGGCCAAGGTAAGAGTTGTGAACTGCATTTTGAATTTTGTGTATTTAAAAGATCCTGATCTCAAATATAACGAGTGTGAGTCGGTTGAAACGAGTTGCTTCGAAAAACCGAGTTGAAGGCGTCTAGCGCTGAGGTGTTTGTATCGTGGGAGTAAGTAAAATGAAGCGTTGTGTCGTACCGGTCGACAATTAGAAAGTAGGGAATGAGAGTGGGTGGAATTAAAGACACACTAAAATGGACAAACAGGAGGGAGGAAGAGAGGAAAGATGAGTTGATGATGGAGGGAGAGAAAGCAGAGCCAAGAGAAATCATCTGATGGGGGACTGGAAGGCATAAATAAAATGCGGCCGGGTCCCGATGATCAAATTTGCACCCCCGGCACACTTGTTGCATCGGGGTCAGTGGCAGGGGGAGATGACTTCAAGACTTTGCACTGTTTTGGTGAGAAATGTGGGAAATTGGGCGCAACGCCCATGAACCGAAACGTGTTTTGACCAGCGCTCAAACACCCAACGGAGTCGCTTACTGGGGGCCACGGAACTTTGGAGACGAGAGAGCCTCACAGAACCAAGAGCTTTGCCGCCCGCTCATCAGATGGCATTTTGTGCGGGCCAGTCTGATTTCTGAACCTCGGAAAAGGAGTTGTCTTTGCTCATGTTGGTGCGTAAAAAGTGATTCTATTCCCAAAATGACTGGGCATGCGAAGCGAGCTCATTCATGTCGATTCCCCTTTTACTTCTACAGCAACAATGTTCCGTTGGAATTTGCAAGAGCCGCATCTCCCTTTCTTTTTACTTCGTACCTTCGTGGACTCCACTATTTTAGCCCATCCCACTTTGATCTTGGTTCTAATTTGCTGAAAGATAAGCTTAAAAGCACCTTCTAGGTAAATTTACTCTTTTCAGGGTTACCGCGGGAGGAACGTGGCGCTTCCGTCGCCCAGCGAGAACGAGTGGTGCCCCGAGGTTGTGCACGACGATGCACGGGAAGTGGAAATCTGCGAGTCTGCGACAACATCTCCGACACAGGCCAAACCGCACTCGTTTCACCAACATCATCTGTCAACGAGAACTACGGATGATTGACAGCTACGCTACACAAGTTCTTCCTTCATTTTGCTGACGATGCCCGCGTGGCTGAATTAGATTTCGAAAATATCATCCTGGAATTTCCTTTGGCACAGGAGTCGGGAGCACCAGTTCCCATAACTATCCTCCTTCTGCATACATGGGTATTTCGCGGCCCAAGGTTGAGTGCTGCTGCATTCAATGTCCCCGGATTCCAAGGGGTGATGGACCTGCAGATTGCCATGTTTGGACGAGGAGAAAGTAGTGTGTGGTCCAGCGGGTTTATGGAAGCACAGAAAGCGGGAAAGGAAATCCGTATGTTTCGACGCTCGAGATCTTCACACTTTGAATCTCGGTCATCCAACTTGTGCAATGCAAGAGCATCTGCAAAACTGATCGTCGCGATCGACAAACGGAAGTTGCAGCTTTTTTGGAATGGAAACGGGAAACGGGAAGTTGATATCATGCCGTTAGAAGTAATTTACAAGATCGAGGTGTTCGTATGTTACTTCTTATTGGCTAGTTCTTGCTATTTTAGGTGGAAATGTTTAAAGTAACGACCCACGACTGCTAGGCTTGTGCCAATGATCTCTTGGTCGCAGAATGCGTAAGACGTTGCTGGATTTCCACTTACATCTTCGTACCTTTGGTCCAATTATAGAAAGTTGTTGTTAATTTTATAGCGAATCCCAGTCGACAAGAAAAGTGTCAAACATCCTTTCTCTGTTGGCGTAACTTGATTCTAACTACTCCGTTATTCTACTTATTTATAACAACTGAATCAATCAACTGAAAGTCCTGGAATAATTATACCTAGGTAGTAATTGTTGTTGGTAATATATAACTGGATGCCTGGAATGCCAGTTTTGAAGTACTAATAAGAATTGTATTAAACGAGTTACTTCTGAAACTGAGAAGCAGGAAACTATGGACTATATATATATATATAAAACCTGCTCCTTTGTACTACCTGTTTTATAGTAGAGTAGTAGAAAGACTATATTAGTATATTAGTATATTAGCTAATAACACACCCCTTTTCTATTATTATAACTAGGTTTATTAATTAATTAAATTTCAAGGTAATTCCTTTAAATTTAGTAGTTCTAAGAACCTCTTAAACTTTACTCTATCTAGTACTTTTATTAATTTATCTACTACTATAAACCTAGTAGGTATATACTATAGATCTACTATACTAGATTCGACGGATTCGCGAATATAATAATAGTAATAAATAAAGTGTTTTATTTTTTAGTAGAGCTCCAAATTCTCTAAGATTAAAAGTATACCTTAATAGTTACTATATAATCGAATAGACTATATATCTTTAGTATTTTATTTAATTTAAAGTATTAACTTATATATCTACGTAAGCTCTATAACTATATTTATAATACTATAAAATTCGGATTCGGTAGTACTTTATATAATATAGGATTAGCGTTTAGATTAATATAATATAATATCTCCTATAAAGAAGAATACGTATCTAGATATTCAATAACTAGTAGTCTTATAATTACCTTAACTAGTATTACTATATACCTTTAATATTATATCTTTAGAGCTATACGTACTACCTTCTAATACTAAGGAGAGTATATTAGTACCTTTAGGATGTCTTAAACTATATTTTACTTAAGTAATATATACTTTTAATAAGTTATTAAGATAGTAATATAGTACTAATATTAAGAATACTAGGTTTATTCGAGTAATATAACTAAGGTATATAACTAAACCTATTATAGATTAGTAGTTCTTAATATCCTCTAGTATTACTTATACTTCTTTTAGCTAAGGGATTATTTAGTTCTACTATAAAGAATCTATTAGAGTTTCTACTAATTTATAGTTCTCCATTCTAAACTTTTTAAGGATCTTTTAGATATAAGTATTTGTCACGAATCACGTGTTCACGTGATACTTGTCATAATAAGAGGCGCAACCCTCGACAGGCACATTCAGATTTCTTATAGCAAATGGGGATCGCTTAGGGTAGCTAGGCGATCCAAGGATTTCTTCCTTACAGAAGATCATGTGACTAGGGAGTATGAGGAAGTATAAGGGAGGCTTATACTACTCTATACTA